TTCCAGCATTTTATTTGCCAATTTCTCATCTTTCTTCAGACATAGTCATCCCTTATTCCAAATGAGATTTTCATCAGCTCCAGAAGTTTGAAAACATTTGTTATTTAATGAATTTTTTAGTTTTACATGAAATGTTTCTTAAAACTCTTTTGAGTTTAGATTAAAAAAAAAGCTTAAATTGATGTCATGCATTTGAAACCTAAGAAAAATAAAAATTTGCGGAATGTGTTTACTGTGAACCCATATGAACAGGGATTTTACAATGTATTGGGATTAACTGCGATTGTATAAACAGGAATGTTGACACTTAAAGTGTGTGCAGAATGTATGTGATCTGCAATATATTTTACATTTTAAAAACAAATCATATTTATGATGTGACAATGCAGAGAAGTGAGTACACATAAAAAAACACAGCTTGAACAGTAACACATATATTTAATTAGAAATGATATGTTACAAGCAGATACCTATGGGAAAATGTGTTCAACTGCTATTAAAATTGATGTGCCATCTTCCAATCACTTGACTTATATATATATACAGATCTTTTATTATTACACTGAAGAATGCCAATTGAATTCATTATTACACTGAAGAATGCCATGTTTGAACGTTTTGGTTCAAACATGCATTTTCCAATATTTAGGTGAAAAAAGTTTAACAGAGCTATTCACACAAATATTTACACATACATAACTACTCTGAATCGAATATTTTTAACTGAAGAGCTGATGATAAGACATAAAATGTGAAAACATTAACCATTTTTTAAATCCTGCATTTGGCTGTGTTTTCCTCTTGAAAAAAACTTTAGAATATCTAAATATTGAATTTCTTATTATCCATAACATTCAATTAAATACTACATTTGTAAGGATATACATAGAATGTATAAAATTTTGCTTAAATATAACACTATTGAACAATTTCAATTTTTCACCATAAATTCTCTTTTTAATTACAGTTCAATAATTTAGTGTTATGCATAAAGGCAATATCTATACAACTTTAATCATATAACATTGTTTATGCATTTCAGGAAGACTTTCCACACTACAAATAAAAATTCAATCTATATAGTATTTGAGAAGAAATTCAAGAATAATTTTAAAATAATTCAAAAACCCTAGCAGTTAATACTTTTAAAAAATAAATATTTCAGTATTTAACTTCAATATAAATTTTTAAAATACTGAGAGCTCCAAGGAATGTTTATTCTATTTGGAAGGGAATAAACTAAAGTGCAGCATTCGGTTATGGATCAGTCATGACATAACCCTCTTTTCTAAATTGTTACACTTAATAAAAGAAGTATGATGAATTATTTAATTACTGTTTTTACTCACATATTTCCTCCCCTATATTTTGGAACATACGATTTATGGTAGTAACAAAAAAGTGGGTAGATATCAAAGCACATTGTGCAAGTTAAAAGATAGTAAATGTAATAATTGCTACTGATTTCTTTTCAGTTATAGAATACAGTAACATAAATATGTCTATTCACGTGCATTTTGTAATTTGTTCTTTAACCCCTTCTCAGAAAAAATACGAAGCACATAAGTTTCCCTTGTTGATTTTCAAGTAATAAAACTAGTAAAAAGGGGCGAAATTATGCGAGTACAAATAATATTATCAAAATTAAATATGATTGAAATTATTACAGATAATTTTAACATTAAGAAACCTGCAGATAAGTAACATTCTATATTTAAAGTTGTTTTATTAGTCTGTAAAAATTTAATATTTAAAAATTAAGAATTTAAGGGGGAAAAGTCAAACATTACGCCATGCCATATCACAAATGCATGTAAAAAATCTCTTGGGCATAAAAGCAAGTAGAAAAACAATATAAGGTAATGGTTATATACAGTGACTTCTACAAATATATTCTAATTTAAAATTATATTGATTTTAAACCACTCACAAGACTGTACAGATACACACTTAAAAACATGCTATCAGATGAACACTTTGGACTAGGCAAGATATTAAAACTTCCTCTCAAACCAGAACATATCAATAAATAAAAAAATGATTCCATTATGCAAAAACATACTCCACACAAACAATACATAAGAAAAAGGTATCATTTTACGACTAAATTCAAATCCCATTTTAGTGGCAGAAATGCTTTAGTATATGTTCACACATTTCTTAAAGATGTACTATTGTGTCATGTTGAAATGTTTTTTGAAATATGACTTTATGCCTGCCAGTTTACTCATATCTCACACATTCATATTTATTTTGCATAAACAATAAAAGATTACAGCAAAACTTAAATTTTTTGTCAGCTTTATTTCTAATAATTATTCCATAAATGAGACAGTCACATGTTTGTATACTTATGTTAATGAAATGGAGGCAATACATGATTTTCCAAATTAATATGAAAATTCTTATGCTCCTCACATTTTGCTGATTGAAAACTTTCATGAATACAATGAAATGTAAATGATGAATAGCTAGTAATAAAAAGTACTTTCATTTGATAAAATTAATATGCTGAAAAATAATGACTCTGAAAACCTTTCTGATGTCACAATGCAATGTGAATTCATACATCAAAGACAATTCGTTAATAGGAATTTAAAAAATACAGATGTGTGTGCATTTGAGCATATCTCGTTTAAGGAAGTTTTAAGTTTTCGGTTTTGCTAGTATTTTGTGTAAAATAAGAGACATGCTTAAATAATACACATTTATTGGTTAAAAAACTGCTATTCATGTGTGTAAAAATATTTTCAGACATATGCAAGGATTTGAACTTATCACACAACCCATTAATAAATATCAACAGGACTTTAATTTTTTATGCCCCCACTTGAAAAGAAAACATTTATTAAAGAAGTATGAACTTCCACAACATCAGCAAGCTGCCACCTTAAGGGGGCAATGGACATACCATGATCTCATACATTAGAATTACAGCCTAACAAACTGCACATCTGGGCAAGTGAAAACACCGAATGTGATACGTGCTTAAAGTACAGATCAGGCATGCAATAACAGTAGCGTGCCACGATAACAAGCCTGTGCTGAGATCTTTCAAATTCTTAGCTCTCCTCCTTTTTAAAACAAGTAAAGATTGATTCCAGATCCAGCAGTAAGTATAACAAGCATAGTATGGCACCTGAGTTGCAATGTCTGTTTGGAACGCAGCTTTTTTAACTTTTAGGTTTTTTACCACTTCCAAAATGAAACCAACCAGATCCCTTTTTCCTAGTAGGCCCTAATTTAGCACCAGCCATGATAGCCAATTCAGGGTGTATATTTGAAGGAAGGCTTCCACTGCGTGCTTTGGCACTCGGTGAGTCGAGAAGAAGCTCTGTGACTGCTGCATCAGGATGGCAGCGACGACCTTTTGTAAATTTTGCTATAAATATAAAAAAAAAAGTTAATGAATCATTTCCAAATAAAGAATATGAGATACTATTCGAAAATTGCTCACAACAAGCAGAAAAAAGATTTAACTCTTTGCACTTTATCTACTTCAGTATTACATCTATTTTACTTCAAATAAAATGTGACATTCAATTATTGGTTGCTTCCCTGGAAAAATTCTTATGTTAAAACATATCTAACTGCTTCTTGATTTTTGCCTACACTCATCAGAAAATCAAGATTTTATTGCTGGCATTAGATTAAAAAAGGTGAAATTCTTTAATTCCTAATGTACAGATGCACTACAGCCTTATTTTACTGATTCAGTAAATGTTTCGATTTTATTATTACTAGACAAAAGAATTTATGTACATTAGCATCATATAAGAATCGGATGTTAATTTCGATATCATGCACTTTTGAAAAACTTACTATAGACATCTTACTTTCTTAACTATTAAGGAAAATTAACCACATGGAAAAAAATTCTAGGGTTTTACAAATTAAAAATTACAGCTTTCCTTTCCATTAAGGTTTCACTAAATGACACCACTCATCAACATAGTGTCATAACATCATAAAAAGAAAATAGGAGGTTTAAAATTTTGTTTCTGCTTCTAATTTTGTATTTTTTACACTTACAAGAAAAAAATACCAATTTTTATAGTAGAATACTCATTCGCTGTGAAATTGGAGGCATGGGACATTTGCTCGTTTTGCTCTTGCATAAATCAGGTCCAGACTAAAAGCAGTTAATATTTTTTTTAAAAGACTGATACATCAGCATGCTTAGCAGCTTAATACTTGCCTCTTGGTCTTTTGGGTTTCTGTTTATTATGTACAGCTAATCTGGCACTTTTCTTAGCTTCTTCTGTGACAACAAATGCTATAAAACATATACATGGTTTATTAACAAGTTTTAAGCATATGTAAAATCTAATAATTAAAAATCTTAAGCATAATCATAAGACTTTCCATCTTCATAATTAAATTACAGATATAACAAAGGAAGCTGCACAGTTTCATGCTGATAGCAAAATGCACTAGATGCAAGATATGCAAAATACAGAAAAGCAATAAGATCAATATATTTAATATCATTGTGACACTGCATTTAATTGAAGAAACTAAAAATTTTTAGTGACTAGAATTTGACATTACAGTACAAAGTCCGTAATCCGGACTCGTAGGGATTCCGGATTAGGGGTTTATCCGGATTATAGATCATCAATTTAAATCTGGTAAGATGGCATGCAGAAATTACACAATTCAAATTATGAAATCATAATTTATGAAATAAAAGAGCAATTATGATCTAAAGGGTATAAAATTTACACACAAAAAAAAAGCTTAATATTTATTTGTTTACTTTAGTAAACAGTTCTATCAATGTGAGTTGTTTAAGTTGTTTCATTTTTTGTGCTAATACTTTCTCTTTAATTTTATAAACAGACATAATTTCTTGTTCAGTTACAAAGTTCTAATGTTCCAATCCTGTAATTGCTGTTGTCGAGAATACCGACTAACTTGTCAATCGAAATTTTTTCGTTTTCAATAATGTCCTCTGTTACTTTCTTCACTATCAGAAGTGCGCATGGGTAAACGCTTTACTGGCTTTATGCGCATGGGTAAATGCTTTACTGGCTTTACGCGTACATCAAATGCGCATGGGTAAACGCTTTACTGGCTTTACGTGCACATCAAATGCGCATGGGTAAACGCAGACATAAGTTTGTGGCTTTGATGTCCGGATTATAGATCATTCCGGATAATAGAAGTCTGGATTACGGACTTTGTATTGTATCCAAAAAACACATGGCATATCTTTCTCCCGATTTCTTTTGGGGGTCAAATATGGGAGGTGAAAAGTGAAAAACACAAAAAAACGAAATCATCCAGACCAGACACTATGCACTTCATCTATAAAATTAGTACAGTTTAGCCTGTAGAGTCATTAGGCTTGTTGAAGCAAGAGGCATGAAAAATGCACGATGCCTTTGCCTCTGGATTTTCTGAGCTAGCTGGACATAGCTGATGAGGCAAAGAAGACAGGCACATGCGGAAGCCAATACCTAACACATATCAACAATGAATTTTCTTGGGTGAAAGGGAATAGGTTCAAAATTTTAGCACATATATTTGATTGTGTTGGTATGTTAAAAAAAAATTAAATTTGGGTGCATGGAAAAATTTTAGTTTGATGTTACTGAGTTAACTAGGTTAAGTGCATTAAGGAGTTAATATATGTGTTTTTTTTTTTCCATTGATTTTAGAGATCAAAATATATACACATGTAAGAATATTTTGAAGCATGATGGATTTGTATGAATATATACAGTTGGGGACAACACACAAGCTACAGATATGATTCTAAATTGTGTACTTGCATTTTTAACAATTTCATACATATGTTATGAAAAGGGAAAGCGATAAAATGAAGCAGATTGCCGTTATTGACAATAAACATTACCTTGATTTTCATCATCAATAACTCTTTGTCTCTCTGCCTTAAAAGCACGAAGCCACTGGTCTTTCTCGGGAGATGTTTTGGCATAAAACAGATACCATTTGTCTTTGTCTCTGCAATAAATCTTCCAGGCATTTTTCACATTAACAGCAAACTGAGAATCTAAATAAAAGAAATGATTCTATGAAGATGAACAGATTTATTACATAACATTCTATTTAACATAAGTTCCATTTAAGAAAAACATCAAAGGAACCATATCAAATAAAAATATAGACAAAAGATTTTCAAAAAATCTGAAGATGTAGAGTCTTTAAACTGGCATAAAAATATCTGCACAAGCAAATATTTTTCACAAAAAATACCATAGTCAGGAACTTCATAAGGGGAAAAATGAGATATCAGAATGAAATAAACAGAATTTTGAAGTCCGGAGTGTGGTTACTGTTTATAGCGATGGCAAGACATGTAGTAAAGCTTCACTGTGTTTATGATGCATTTTGACAGCACGGTAGGCAGCAGCAAACTTGACTAAAACTATACGCTGTGCCTGTTGGCAAGTTGAATAACATATTTTCTCTGAGTATCCATTAATGAGTTAAAGCTGGGATGTCATGCTGACTAGTCCAAACGAACATTAGTTGTTCTCTTGAAAGCATGATTTCAATAACCAGCTTGGATGGAGAAGCATTATCATCTTGAGATAAGAATCTTTTTGCTTTAAAGAGGAATCTTTATAGAAATGAATGTCAGTCTTTACAAATCTATGCATTGATTTAAAGAAATGACATCTTAAACATATACAGAATTAAATCCAACAATTATCAATTTAATCAATGTTATTTGGATGTGGAAGTGTGCATGCTACCATCCATACTTTTTTTAAATAGCAACTAGAATCACTCTTCAAGAAATATGAGGAACAAGCTGTGAAATTATTGACTTCTGTTCATTTTCAGTCCAATAAGGACGCTTAATGAAAGTTTAGTTGCTCTCTTCTGCGACATGAGATGGAGAGTACAAAACATAAAAAGATTATATTAATTGCAATCTATGATAGTCTGCTAATAAATTTTCTTTACATGAGAAGCTTATACACCACAGTTTCTTCCGAAACAGAAAATTGTAATGGAATTAAACCTCCTGTTCCTTCCTTTAACAGTAATTGGACCAATACAGTAGTTCTAACCAGAGCTTAAATTGCGCCGGTACTTCTTTGTTTTGGGAATATACCGTATTTATGTGAATCTAATGCGCCATCAAATCTAATGCGCATCCCCATTTTAAAACTTTAAATAATAAAAAAACTGTTTGTCGGCGAATGTAATGCGCATCAATGGTTATGAGGATTTATTGAATCTTATTTATACAACAATGGATTTGCATATAAACTATCAATCAATGGTATGATATTTTATTTAAATTTAGATACCATATTTTATATAACAATGGATTATACGTAAAGTAGCAGAACATAGAATTAACCTATTAGTGGGCTATTGTTATGTGAAACAATCATTGTTAATACCACTACCTATATACGGTACCTATCGTAAAATATGACATGAAATAAATCGTAATATTTTCTATCTAGCTAACCAGTTTCTAGAATCAGTGATTAATGTAAACGTCTTTATTCATTAATGTTTTCATCAGGAATCCTCGCAGCTCTCTTCGTCAGAAGCAGATTCATTTCTTCTTTCCTCCTCCTCATCATCGTCATCATCGGCGTTCCAGAGCACTCATCTTCACTGCCATTCGATGAATTGAAATGCAGCATTTCTTGAAAGATTTCATAATCATTGGTGCTCGATGTTTTTCCAGGCAGCAGAAACCCAGTGTGCAACAATGTGCGGTGCAGCACGCTTATCTTTCCTGTCAGGGTCAATTCACGGTTGGCTCACAAAACCATTTTTGTGTACTCCGCCTGAACGTACCATTAAAGGTTTATTTATAATAACGTCCAGGGGTTGTAACACAGACGTCATCCCTCCAGGAATTAAAACAAGATCACTGCCTAGGCTGTGCATCTCTTTTTTACGTCGTCGGTGAGATGACCACGAACTGCGTCCAGACAAAACATTGATGGCGGATTGGAGAGCCCACCGGAACGGCGTTCCCATACATTTCGGAGCCAATCAAGCTTAATGATTCTGTCATCCACCCTCCTCTTGGTTTCGAATCAGGACATATCTGAGAACAGCTTTTCATTCTTAGGGGTTTTAGGGCATGTTTTTCCGTTTGAAGATTAAGAAAGGGGGAAGCTTGCACCCGTCTGCTCTTATTGCCAGCATCACTGTTACGCGTAGTTTTTCACATCCCGAAGTTTTAATGATAACTTCCTTAGTCCCCTCCTCCGTAATGTTGTAGTTACGAGGCATATCAAACCAAATTGGCGTCTCGCCAGCGTTGCCAATTTGCCCCATTTAAAAATTCTTTTTCCTTTCCGAAGTGTGATGACATACCGCTGAAATGTAAGTAGTTTTCCCTCAAAATCTGCAGGAAGCTTTTGGCATAGTGTTCTACGGCGTCTTAGAGATAAGCCCATCCGATTCATAAACCGATCCAGCCATCCACGGCTAGCCTTAAACTCTTGTTTCGGTATTCCAAGAACCTCAGCCTCTTCTTTGCTTTATTTTTATGGTGTCACTAGTCACAGGTTGTCCATTCTCCCTTTCACGTACAAATTCCAAAACGTTTTCTTCAATTTTAGGGTTTCTTCCTTTGCGAAGGCCAGTGAATTTCTTTCTACGAGCTTTAGTTGCAAACAGTGCCAATTTCTGTTGCCGCCACAAGCGAACATCGCTCTCAGCTACGTTGAACTCTCTCCCTGCCTTTCTATTGCCATTTTTTCAGCATAAAAACTACTTTACGTTTGAAAGTAGTGTCATATGACATTCTTCTCTGTTTGCCCTCCATTTCTTGACTACGTACTCTGCAGTTTGTATCCTCTATGCAATAATGTGTCAACGATAAATGTAACGGTAAACGTAGTCGAGAAATACAGTAATCCTTTGTTAAGATTTAAATTTGGTTGACGTCATCGGCAAACTTTGCACTCGAATCTAATGCGCACCCTAATTTTGAATACTACATTTGGCCAAAAACGATGCGCATTAGATTCGCATAAATACGGTATTCTAGTTCTAGCCGGAGTGTACCAGAGCCCTAAATAAAAAGATTCCGGCACTTCTTTAATGTAACTGAGCCATTATTTCAGTAAAAATTGAATCCCAAAAATTTTATTTTTAGCAAAAAAAAATTAAAAATCGCTTATTTAATTTTAATTACTTTAATCTTTAAGTATTTATTAAATAATAATTATGCATATCAATTAAATAATTATTAATTGATACTCATTTATTTATTTATTTATTTATTCTTGTTCCTCTTTCCAAACAGTCTTCCATAGGGCTTTGGCACTTCTAATTTTAAAAATTAAGCCCTGGTTCTAACTTCATGATTTCTTTGGTTGAGCTTTAAGCATACCAAATCTATGCTCAGAAATTTATTCCACGTTCCTGATTATAGAAAAATTCATGTTTAGAAAATAGATATATATATAAGTGATTTTGCCCAGTAGATCACTTGCTTGACTATATTTGTTTAGAAAATGTCTTAAAATTATCAATACAAAACTATTTTAAATTTATCTAAAGATCACAAAACATTCTTTTCTGGCACTGCTTTATGTTACTCTTTGATTTTGTTAATTACTGCTATCCAATTTTAAATTTCAAATGTTGGTTTACTGGAATACATCAGAAAACATAAGGCTACTTGGCAGAAGGGAATGGTTGAATCTGAGGTAGGCTTAGCAAGGGACATTTAACTCAAAATCATATTATATATGGAGAATGATGAAAACATACAAGAAGTTGGCATGTGTAGCAAGATTTAAATCCAGGTTAAATTACCTGTACTCATTGGTAATGATCAGATCTGTTCAGCAGTTTTATCCACTTGGTCACTAGTGAACCCTCATTTGCATGATATTCGGAGTTGGCATTATGTTCCTTACCAATTACAAGAACATAATTGAAAAGATTACCCTGTTTTAAGCAAACTATTTTCTCTACTTTTTTTTTAGCTTGCTGAAATTAGCATGATTTAATACTTTCTTAAAATTTTGGGTTTTAAGAGAACTATTGGAATTTCTTAAAATTCTAGAACAAAATTATATTCAATAAGTTTGCTAAATAAGCATGTTGATTAATACAAAAAAACGTTATTGCATCACATTCTCCATGCATTAAAAGTGTACTGTACAACAAAAATTACAGAAGGAAGAGTAAATACATAAATAAAACTTGATATGCAATATTTTTATATCCAAATCTGATTAATATGAATTTCTGCCTTGAGTATACAGCTTATATATTAAAAATTAAGCAAAATTTCAGTGGTGGATTTACATTTCTTTTATGTATAAACACACCAGCACAGAGACAGGGGTCCCTTCTGAACAAAGAAAAAGAGCACCACATTCATTTATCTTAAAAGGCAGTTTTTCTGCAAACACAGTGTCAGTTTGCCACTCAATTTTGTCTGACTAAAATTTAAATCAGCAGGCTTCTCTCCCATGTCTTATAACCTGTACACTTATGTGTTTCATTGCGTATGATCTTGCATATAGTATCTTACACACAATATTATCTTGCATATCATTTATTACTTAAAGACAACGAATTAAATATTTTCAAATATGTTTAGAACTAACTTTTTAATACATGAATGAAAAAATTTAACAAATTAGATTTTACCTTTACCATCTTCAGCATCTACAATATCACAGTAGTCAAGGTTTAATCTGCCTTTGTAAGCATAAGTATGCCGTTTCAAAAGATCCTAAAAATACATCCGTAAATAAAATATGATTAAAATTTAAAATTTTATATTCTTTTTCACAAAATAAGTACTGTATATTTCTGTGTATAAGCCGAGAATTTTTTAACTTTTTCAAAAGCTAAATTACGTAGGTTGGCTTATATACGGATCCTCTAATCTCACAGAAAATGTAGATACATTTCTGTCAGCCAGACACAATCCATATATCGCTAAGTATCACACTTTTTTGTTTATCACGTTTATTAAAAAAGAATTTTAAATGAAACATGTACAGCACAATGTCCATAATCCGGACTCGTCGTGATTTCGGCGATACTGGATTAGGGTTTTTTCCAGATTATAGATCATCAATTTAAATCTAATAAGATGACATGCAGAAATTATATAATTAAAAATATGAAACCATAATTTATGAAATAAAGAGCAATTATGATCCTAAGGGTATCAAAATTTACAAACAAAAGCTTAATATATATTTGTTTACTTTAGTAAACATTTCTATCAATGTAAGTTGTTTAAGTTGCTTCGTTGTTGGTGCTAATACTTTCTCTTTAATTCTATAAACAGACATAATTTCTTGTTCAGGTTCCACTGTTCAAGTCCTGTAATCACTGTATCGAGAATACCGACTAACTTGTCAATCGAAATTTTTTTGTTTCCAATAACGTTCTCTGTTACTTTCTTCACTATCGGAAGCGCACATGGGTAAACGCTTTATTGGCTTTATGCACATGCGTAAGTTTGTGGCTTTGAGGTCCACATTATAGATCATTCTGGATAATGGATGTCCGGATTACGGACTTTGTACTGTATTATGAAAAAGCTATAATGTAGAATTGGGTGTTCCTTTGAGTGGAAACAAATTTTTTTGATGAAACCCCATTTCTGGTTACTATGATAGTTTTAACTTCCCAATTTTTTTAAGTGAAAATAGATTGTGGTGTACATGGACGAAGTCAAGGCAGAGTGCAATTCTCCGATTTTTTTTAAGTGAAAATAGATCGACGTGTACATGGACAACGAGTCTGCACAAATTTTTGACTTCTTATTTTGTTTTTGTGTAGTGGCTATTTTGAAATTGCGACTTCCTGGCGCCAACCTTGGCATCAAAAATGAATTGCCAAAAAACAAGGGGCACCCAATTGTAAACTTTTACCTATGAAAATATGTTGTTTCATTTTCAGAAATGTTTACAATGTTGTGTCTAGGCTGGTTTGTTGCACTTTCACCAGAACGAAAGGTCTGATATCGGCGATATTTGCACCTGGCTTTCTTCACTCTTCGAATTTTTTTTCATGTACGGAGATATGCCAAGCAGTCATACTGTCTTCTTTTTGTTAAAATCATCTGTAATTTGAAAATTGCCCGTATAAGAATTTCTCTTCCCACTCACCTTTCAGACAAATAATAAAATGGGACAGAAAATAAGACTATCACAAATACCACAGATTGTACAAGAAGACTAATGAATGGAATAAATGTACTAGTAGTTTCAGATAGGGTTACCAGGGTTAAAATCTATCATTGTTGGCATCTAGCATTTTACAGTGATTTTATTGGAACATACTCCGCTTATTTCACCTGCTTCATAACATTTTCACAATCACTGCAATATGTTTGAACATAGCACGAATGTTTCCCCCTGCCCCCATTTTAGCTTACATACAGGTTTTGAACTTCGGATAAATTATTGAAGCAAAAACGCACTCTCGGCTCGTATTCGGGAATATATACGATATTTCCTATCACTCTATAACACATAAATTTCTATCAAATAAATAAATTAATTAATTAAAAAAATTGCTAAGAAATGTATCAATGAACAAGACTGAGTGAACTTCAGAAATTAGCTGTGTATATGCAGATAATTCAAATAATAGAAATCTTTTCATAGAGAGTATTTTTGTAAAGATTTTTATGTTTCTGGTAAATCTTTGACAAGTACATTACATGTATGTGGTCCTAACAGTTTAAGTACTTAGAGAGCAATGGGCAATAAAGCACACAGAGCACTTCTAGCACACAAAATCATGAACCAAACAGTAGATCTTAATCCTTGCAAAACAAAAAGCATTATGTTAAAAAAAATGGATGCTTTCTTTATATATGTTAAGACTGAGATTCAAAATGTCATTTAACCAATACAATACTTAAAGTATGCCTACAATTCCTTCTCCAAGAATTCAAATTATAGAAACTGTCATGAAGGAAAAAAAAAAAAAAAAAAGAAAATCTTTCACTAAAAATGACATGTAAGATAGGTTTTTTTTTTTTTCACCTAAAATAATTTTCTAAAATGATATTATTATTTATAAAAGAGACACATTTTCTGTGCAAAAGAGAGTTTGTTTTACTGCTAAACAAAATCGCATATGGTTGTAACAAACTAATTAAAAAAATGAACTTACTTATGGAAGTGTTAAGTTGCTATTTTATACTATTAAACACGATACATGATTCTGTTTATTTTTTTATCTATAGTCAAATTGTTACTTTTTAATACTACTCAATTTTTAATACATGTGTCTATTGCATTTTATATAAAAACAATCTAACTGAGTTTTATATTATATTACAGAAACAATGTTGAAAACTGGCAAATAAAGAGTAAAACTGGTCATTGCCTTTAAAAATAACAATTATTTTCTTAACCGATATATTAGCATACAAATGATAATGAAAATAATTCAGAATTAAGTAAGCTCTGTACCTTTTTGCAATATATAAGCTGGTGATCAAATATGAACAAATAAATATCCCGTGACCATGATGATGATACCCTTGTGACTTCACCACAATGAATAAGGATTGAACTTGTGTCAAGAACATCAGGGCCCTAGGGGAAAATTAATTGGTTAGCCCTAGGGTTAATTGTTTAGAAATGATACAGTAAGCAATCATCAAATCTACAATAATACTTAAAAATTTACATGCCTCCCATCCTTCAATGGTACTTTGCCATTCAGCTATGCGCTCTAAGCATTCCATGCGACGCTTTCGTTCATTTACAAGTTCAGCTACATCTTTCATTGCTGCTAAAGCATTTGTAACGGGAATGTGATCAGGATGGCTTGCATCTGTAAATTTGAGCAATTCAGCTAGCTGCAAAGGATATTTGCAAATTCTTTGAATTGGAGTCAAAAGGAAACCATCTAGAGAAATATCTATCATTTCTTGAAGAAGCCGACATGCCTGGAAAATAAATTTTTCATAGTCAAGCTCTTAAACTAAATGAAGATAAAACTGAACAATAGAAAAATATTTAGAACGTGTAATCAGTGTGAAGCATGAATTACTCTCACCTCAAAAAAGTGAATGTACTGTGAATCGCAATATAATTCTTGTAATTCACTCACAGCTAATGGATGATTATTGCAGTACTGTGAATACATTTTAAATTCTTCTTTCTGAAAAAGGAAAAAAAAATCTACAAACCTAACATACCAAGATTACTTATTACATAATGTACCCCCCACAAAAAATTACAACTGCAGTAAAAAGTGGTAATTAATTAATATTTAAGTTCAGAATTTCACATTAAAATAACTAGATTAAAATTAAAAGGATATCTTTTACAACTGTTTTTCAAAGTATTGGTGCAATTCCCAAAATGTATTTCAGTGTATTATACAGTATAGTAGGCCAACTCATCAATAAACAGAAATGGTGACATCTACATCACACCCATACATTTCCATACATGATATGCTAGTAAATTAGTAATCACAATAGTGACTATTTAAGGCTGCTTAAGACAGAGCTTAAAACAAAACTACTTATCAAGTAGCTGGGAAGATTTGCCTAAGTAAGGCTAATAAACCCAAAAGTTATTCAACTATTAACAGAAAACATTTTTATGAGCATGAATTATTTTTCTTCTATAATTGACACTAATGTGCTGGTGCATGAGAACTACCAAAATAATCTAAGAATGTATCAAATGGATAGCTTGCTACTGCCTCAAAAGTATGCCACGAGTGATGAGGTGGTAAAACCTGACATACTTGTATATAAAATTAGAACATTTTATTCAGTCAGATGTATTGACTCAATTTTTACAAAAATTCAAGAATTCACTATTGGCATTTTTTGCTAAAATTCTCCTATGAACATATAAACACTATATATGTATAATATAACAAAATACAATAGCTGCTTTAAAAATAATTGGCGACCTCAAAATCAACTATTCTAGATTTGGTGCTCTCCCCCTAAATTCATCTGTTCTCTCAAATTCGAGATCTTTCCACGTTATATAACATTGCTTGAAAAAGGTAACTAAAACTAAAATTAACCAATCATGGCTTAGATTCACATATGCAGCTATGTAGTATAAATATTGTGTCACGAGCAATTATGCCTCCCTTTTTTCCAGATTTCTGGCAAGCAAAGTACTCTGCGTTGCTTGCGCTTTCCTGCCTGAAATGACGTCATGTCTTTTTACCTGGGTGTATAAAAATTTATTGTATTCAACGATGATTGAAAAGTAAATTTATCTGGCAAAGAGATGATCTGAGATGTGAAAAATTAAAATGTTGATTCTTCAATTCAGTTTTGTTATCTGCTTCATCAAGCCTTCACCCTCAGCCATTACTGTCTTCTCAGCCATGTCTACAAGCCAGAGGTTGAAGTACCAGATTCCTTCTCTTCTACATATGTATATATAGATATGTATTGCTTGTTCTTGACAAAAACCAAATACAGGCCAACTGCATTCCATTTTAAAAGAGCTAATTTCCAATCTCTTATCTTAAAACAGCTCTAATTTAAATATGCCAAGTGAAGGTACTTGCTTTGTAAGAATACATTTTGCAGAAGATTTTTCTAAGTGAAGTTAGCTTGGTTTTATATTACACACATTTGAAAAATTAAGGAAAACTACTCAGTTTGGTTGGAAATCAAATTTGAATTAAATTACCAATGTTGAAAAGTTTTATTTAAAACACAGCTGATATCCCCCCCCCGCTGCCCAAAACACTGTGAACATCTCTTACTTTCATTTATAGCTTATGGCAGTAATAAATACTAAAAAATTATTCAATAATTGTTAGCAGCCATTTATCAGATAATATTATAATAATTCAAGTTTAAAGTAAAAAGGTTTTTAGAGCAAATAATTTCAGGATCATTGCTCTAGTACCTCTAGCTTCCTTCACCCCTGATAGTGCACTCTTTAGCTTCTTTTACCCTGATACCCTATTACCACTTTCTTCGCTTGTCACAAATGTCTTTTTTGGCAAATATTGCCAGAAACATCCAGTCTCATCCATATTAAAAATATGTTCTGGGCTAAAATTTTCTTCTGCTTACAGCACAGAAAATTTATCAATAAATTTCTCTGCAGAATCTTTATCTGCTGAAGGGTTTTCCCACAAGCTTTCAGATAACATAATATTATTACCGTATTTGACGGCATATAAGACGCACTGGCATATAAGACGCACCCTTATTCAGAAGGCCACACACATGTAGATGTAGAAAAAGTTATGTGTGTCTAGACCTTTATCCGGACTAAAAATAGCATTCAGTATTGAAAGTTAACCTGTGTCCTTCATGTATAAGACGCAGGTAACTTTTTTTGAGACCAAATTTAGGAAGAAAAGTGCGTCTTATATGCCGTCAAATACGGTATGTCTCTGCTTAAATTTGTTCAGTCAACCACTGCTGAAATCACATGTCTTCCCTATTTTTAAATCAATGTGAATCTGCACTTCCCTTTTCTCCAAGAAGCAGTCCCCATCACTTCACAGCTGCTGAAACTGGTACCCCATCATTCCACCACTGCCAGAACCACTCGTACGAAATAGCATCAAAGGTTTCCTGCAAAAATTTCCAATTTTGGATTCCAGTGTTGCTGTAAAATTTCAACAGCTTTTCTTTATTTTTCTGTATGTTATATAAGTTCCATGTCACAGTTCTGCAGTAGAACCTCTCCCCATCATTTGCAAAATTTCTACTTTCTACATTACTGTTAATGCAATGTGTATGTTTTTCAATGTTGCATAAAATCATGAACACATCTCTTACCTGCCATTATATTAAGAAGTGATGACATTAAAAATATAAAATTTTATCAAAAAAATCTGGCTAAAAGAACAAAATGGCAGCACTAAACAACCTCGTGAAGCAACAAAGCTCAGTGAACACAACCACACGAGTCATAAACTTGAAAGGGAAGTTGAATGAAGTCATTTGCTGCTTTACCTTGATACAGATTAGAAGAGAAAAAACTTTTACCATGGGTCAATGATTTAGTAAGTACTTCCATTATGATGTCATTATTAAGTAAATATTTCACTTTTCTCTAGTTTCTACATGTTGCGGTTTACATTTTGAGAAGTTGTGTGGATTTCAGGTCAGTCGATTTTCGGTATTTGACTCTACTTCCAAACCATACATTATTTCTATATACATATCCTAGCTACTGCTTAATTCATTTCTTATGATCGACCTATATATGCAGAGCCTAGTTAAAGCAGTCCAGGGCACTAGAAAGAGCATTCTCTCTGCAGCTCATAATGTCTACTTTTTTGGGGGGGGGAAGAAAAATCAAAACGAATTGTAAAGCCAAAATTATGGGCCTTGCGCAAGTGGGTGATAAGTAAGCTTGCTCTCCACATCAACTAGTATCTATTCAATCAGCAATGGCAAAACATACTGAAAGTGAATGCTACTTCTAATTTAACATTGCTGAAATATATGACAGGATAGGAAATCCTTGTGTCAGAGTCAAGGCAGAATGGAGAAAAGACTGTCAACAGTAACGGGTAAATGGGTATCTCTGATCTCTCTCTCATTGCCTTTTGCACTGTGCAAGTAATGACACAGTATTAATATGGACTAATTATAATTGTAAGTTATGGTTCCTATTATAGCCATTAAAAGATGGCCACAACACAAAAAATAAGCTATGACCTGTATAAAGTGTTCACAAACGGTAAGTAAGGATTTTACACTCCTAAAAGCATAATACAAACTCAAAAGCTCCTACTTCCATGTGAAAAGCTTCAAAAAATAAAATGAACTTTCTCTTCCTGAAAGAAACTTCAAAACAGTAAGTAATATTCTGCAAAAAGAGTAACTTTCTATAGGATCTTTCTACAGTAAAATGTATACAGTCAAAAGTCATTAATTCGGGCACCCATAATCCGGAATGATCTATAATCCGGACCTCAAAGCTACAAACTTTCTGCGCATGCATGTAAGACCTTTACGGCTGCGAATATGCGTGCACGCATGCTCAAAATACGTTTACACATGCGCGTTTAATGTATAATGGACGGTATAAGCTAAGCTAAAATTATCTAATTCAGTTAATGTTGCAGATTGCATTGTTCCTTAATCTTCAAATTGGATCCGGCTTATTATTTTTTGCAGACTGTTAGAGCAATTTTATAAAAGTAAGCTTGAACTTTCGATTATATCAAATAGAATTTCCGATATATATTTGCTAATATGTAAAGGATCTACAAAGCAAAAGTATGTTTCGAAGTCCATTAAACAAAAAGTGGAATTGCTGCAAAAATGGATAAAGGCATATCCTTTGTTTATCTAACCATTCCAAAATCTGTTTATCAATTTCACGCTGCTCTGCGGCGGCGGGACGCCGCAGCGCGCAATGAATTGGAAGTTGATCTGTCAGCACTATCCTTATCTTCAGGGCAGATGTTTTTATTTTATTTGGCTTATAATACCTTACTAAATGTAGTATTTCATCTCGATGTACTCCATCTTTGATATGATTTAAATCAAATTCGTCGTCATTATAATTTGCTTCCGATAGTGAAGAAAATAAAGTAAACAAATAAATATTAAGCTTTTTTTTTTTTTGTAAATTTTGATACCCTTTAGATCATAATTCTTCTTTATTTCATAAATTAAGGTTTCATATTTTTAATTTTATGATTTCTGCATGCCATCTTACCAGATTTAAACTGATGATCTATAAACCGGAAAAATCGATAATCCGGAATCGCTGAAGTCCCGACGAGTCCGGATTAACGACTTTTGACTGTATATGTAAAATGTAACACATTAATTTTGGCTTAAATAGCTGAAAAAGTTCTGTAACTTTAATATGCTAATCCTCAGAGATACCCAAGGACAAATTTAATGATTTTGTTGATTTTCCCCATGCCTATTATCAGCTTACTGTATTTGACGGCATATAAAATGCGCTGGCATATAAGACGCACCCTTATTTAGAAGGCCACACACAAGGTGTGGTTTCTTTTAGTTCTCACGTTTCGTAAAAGCCAAATAAACAATCATTGAATGCAATTATCAAACATATTTTTATTAAGGAAAATTAACAAACGGCAAGCTTTTTTTTTTTTTCAGTAGGTGGTGGACCGAAATGTGTTGCTGCTGCTCTGTTTCCATGCACTTTGGCGTAGTTTAAGACTCCTAGTTTATATTGAATTGTATAGCTTAATCTTTTGTTTCCTGTAGACACATTTTCCAGCGTATTTTTTTTAAACAAACAGTTTTAAGCACCGATACCAACTCATTTATACAGAGTAGCACCAATACCGACACGTGTGTCGGATGAGTCAAAGAAAGTGTATGTAAAGAAGAAAAGGCTCCATAGATGTACTGTGACCATCGAACCTGTTCAAACTTCGATATCAGCTTCGAGCTTTGGCGCTTTTTAGTGACAGATATTTCACGCATGCGCAAAATAATTATGGCAGATGTAGAAAAAGTTATGCGTGTCTAGACCTTTATCCGGGCTAAAAATAGCATTCAGTATTGAAAGTTAATCTGTGTCCTTCACGTATAAGACGCAGGTAACTTTTTTGAGACCAAATTTAGGGGGAAAAAGTGAGTCTTATATGCCGTCAAATACGGTAAATGCAACACTGTTATGAAGTTTAATAAGTTTTGTAAAGCAAAACAAAGTAATGTTTTCTATTTTTATGTTTAATAAGTTTGGCTCAGGTACAGCAGTACTCATTATCATACATCATCACAGATGGCTCCTTCATTTTTAATAAAAAATCTTCTAAATCATATCTCCATAAGTTTTAGATCCAGAAGTATGACACTTTTTTGTCAGCTAGTTAAATCATAAAGAATTTTTTAGCTAATTGGAATTTTTGTTTTATGTGGCATGTATAACTTTTTTGATAGAATCTTTTTGTAAAAATAAAATAAAACTTTTTTTTTTTTGCTAGTATATCTTATATACTAGAAGTGTATGTTTAGAATAAATATTTAGAGGGGAAAATATAAATGAAATAGAAAGCAAGAAAGGGAATAAAATTGCCATATATTTCACATGTTACAATTACAGAATGATGCCATACCCACCAAGAGAAAAGAAACACTAAAAATTTTCTAGACGTCTTTAAAATAAAGAACGCATTTTAAGCGACAGCCATTTATTAGAATTAAGATAAGACTAAAAATAGAAATGTTACACTTGATCTAAAGTATTGTCTGAAATTATTATGCAGAGCACTGAGTAAGATAAAGATTAGAAGACATTTTCTCTGAGTATACTATCCCCACAAAAAGTTCTAAAATAATCCTTTATGAAAACAATATAAAAATAATTACAGTATGAAATAAACAGCCACATACAATCTGACCCTCTGTTGGAAACAAAATGTCTTTCACATATTATACATTAATTAGATGATATTGAAACTTAAGGAGAACTATAAGAATGTATTAAACAAATAAAATCATTTTGAATGACATGACTTTAAAAAACTGCATGTGTTGATAAAGATGATAAATTATCATTACACATGGAGAAATTTAATGCAATGATATATTAAATAATCATGCAATGAAATATGATCAGCTAAAAATATACTTACATGATTCAAAAATATATCTCCAATTTGGCTTAAATGAGGTGAATCTTTATCCAAACGATCCTCTAATTGCTTCAAAAACTGACTTTGAAAGTTGTATATTTCTTTTATATTACCAAATACTGTTTCAATTCTCTCTTTGCTAAACATATCAGGGCGACGATGAACTTGCTTTAAATAGCCCTACAAATTGAAGTTTTATTACATATTTGTCTACACTACACATACATAATATGAGAATCAAATAATAAAACTTTCAGTGCCATAAATGAAAAAAGGCTAAAGAAATTAATCACATGGTAAATTTTTGATAAATTGATAGATTTCATACACATGTGCATTTACACTCAGAGCTTAAATTACACCAGAGCCCATTGGAGCCCAGCTCCAGTACTTCTTAGTTTTGGGGATAAAGCATAATTTTAGCTGGAGCCCTAAATAAGATAGCTCTGACACTTCTTTTATAGAACTGAACAGTTATTGAGCACAAGTTTTATATTGAAAATTTTATTTTTAATAATAAAGTTATATTAAAAATTGATTCTAACTTCTGATCACATGCTTCTCTTTGCTTGAGAAACAAACACTCAGATGGGAGTCAAGACTTTTAAAGAAAGAAAAGCTTCCACCCGCATGTCAAAGGCTTATTTCCTGAAAGTACAGTGAATTTATGAAAGTAGGTAAATTTTTTGTTTCAATTCTATTTCTTCCCTCGGAAAACACTTGCAAAATTTTCGGAAAGATGTAATCAAAGACGGGGGCATGAAAGTTGTCATTTGTTGCTTTTTTATCAGCTAACCATGGGATTTGGGGAAAATTTGTTCCCATGTCACATTCTGCTCGACAGCTAGAATTATATTGACAGGAGATAATTCTCAGATGGAATGTTGGACTCTTCTCTGTTTGTTTTCATTTTTACAGATCATCTGTTAAAATTTTCTTAATATTCTGTTGCTGTGTATAGCATTCTCTCTAGCCTCATTACTGATGCTTTAACAATTATAACATTTTTCATTGGTGTGCTAGAAAAAGGAATGGTCTTTATTTCTATCATCCCTTGAAACATTACATTATATTCAGATCTTAAATTCAACTAGAGACCAGTTGAGCCATTTCTCAGTTTTTGTGTGAAATTTAAATTCCAGCCGCAATGCCAAACAGATCAAGATCCAGTACTTTATTTTATTTAAATATTTACAATTTATTCAATAACTTATTACATTTATATTCATCTCCTTACATTTTATTAATAATTTTAATTATTAAGTTATTTAATTATTAGCCCAAAGGGCTTAATAATTAAAATTAATTTCATTTTGACATTTTGCATCAATTTACTTTCTGCATTGATTCACTTTTAAAACTGATGCCACCAACTATTACAGCCCTGTATTATATTTAAAGAAATTAAATAATGAAGAATCTACATAAATGTATGTATGTTTCTCGTATAGTGATAAAACAACGGAACCTAGAGCCACCAAATTTTGAATAACATAATACTCCAACAAATTTGGGTATTTGGAAGTGTAATTTGGAATCTGGAATTTGTTTTATTACCGGTTTCATATTTTGTCAGACATTAGAGAATATTTGATTAAGAAACTCAACGATTTCAAAACAAGGAATGGCAACACTGAAAGGAAAAAAAAACATTTTTACCTCCAGCGTGTGAGACTGTGTATCGGAAATTCTAAAGATATGCACATTTAAAAATTACTTTGCGATATTGCTATTGAACTGAATTTTATGGTTTAAGTGCGAAGAACATGATATTTAATAAATATAGGTAACACGGAAAACGTTAAAAGAATGCCCCTTTGGGTGTAATGTTAAATCTGAAAGCTCTCAGATTTTTTTAATAATTATTTTTTTAATTATTTTGTTAGTCATTTTATTGATTTATTAATTCGAGATCCTATTTCCTGATGGTCTTCCATAGCGCTCTGGCACTTTTAATTTTAGAAATTAAAACCTCGTTACATTTTGAGAATTACATAAAATTGAAAAGATGCTAAATAAATTTAAGCACAGAACTTTTTTAAATTGGACAAGAGAATTTACTTACTTCAACTACATCTTTCAAATGTTTGACATAATCCCTTTCAGTAGCTACTATTTCTTGAACTATATTAGCTCGAACTTGCTCACAGCTTAAATTATTCATGCTGACTTTGCATGGTGAGTAAGGAATTTGAATACCTTCAGACTGCTGTCCATTGAAATGAAGTGAAGGGCCACGATGATTCACATATAACTAAATATATCAAAAAACATATAATTAAATACACAGAACAATGGAATACGAAGATTTCATAACATAAAATGTAGGAATATATTAAAAAATTACATATGGCTTTAAGCAAAAAAATAACAGGAACTGCCCAAAATTGCTTGCCTTTTGAAATAATAGAAAAGGGTTCGAATTAAATACAAGACAAAAGCTAATTTCAAAGCATTTTACTATATCACTAAGAAATATTTAAGAATCACAGCAATGAATGTAATGCAGATACCCAAAAAAATAATTATATATTTGGCTTTATTCTTAAATTAGCTGTATACGAGCAAAAATAATAATTTTATGAAAAAATATTAACTAAGTGCACACTATAAAGATTAATTTTACTCCCTTTGCTTAATTGCTTCTTAATTTTTCAGGAGATTTATTTCACACTAATTAGCCTAATTAAGTTAGGAAACATGACAATGGAATGTCAAAATAAGTTTGCTGTTTTGTGCCTTTTTTTAAATTCAGCCACAGTTACTTTAAAAATAAGTTTAATCAGAATTTGTGAGATAACCTTTATTTAAATAACTATTTCTCAGAGAAATGCTTTTTCAATTACGTTTTGAAGTTCATGATTAGAGCTCTGAGATGAAATTATACTCTTTATGTTATGCATGAAATAAAATGCAAAAAAGAAAAAATATGCTTCTACATGTTCAACTCAATAAACATATGCTAATCTAACAGGTCAAAGAAATTTTAGAAATAAACCAATAGTGTAAGAATCTTGTTCTTTAAAGAAAGTTTGTTTATATATACTAATTATGAGAAAACATATGTGTGGCTAAGTGGAAGGATCTCTTTGTGAATGGCTTTCTAAGAGAAAATGGATTATACTGGGTTACAGATGAGGGGATATAAAACATGCCTTTCACTGTCAGGAACTGAGCTTGAAGTTCTACTGAGCTTGAAGTTTATTAACCATTTGTATCTAAGAATAAATAACTTTAAATGTTCCCACAAACATTTTCTTTTCCCACAGATTTTAGCAATTTCTGAAATACTTCCTTTTTCTGTAGTAAAATACATGTTGGAAACTACATGTTTGTAGTTCTCCTTCTAATATATGAATGAGAGTACAGTCAAATACCGAAAATCCACCAACTCCTGAAATCTGCATTGCCTCTCAAAATATAAACATTTAGTTTATAGGTTCCGGAAACCGCAACATGGAGTACGAAATATTAAAGAAAAAATACTTACTGGATAATGACGTCATAATTACCGAATAATAATATGTCATAACGGAAATACCAAATTATTGACATCATGATAAAAGTTTCTTTTCCCTTCAATCGGTATCAAAGTATAAAAGCAGACGATTAACTCAACTCTTCTTTCAAGTTCACACTTTACGTTGTTGTACTTTCTGAGCTTTGTTATTTCATGAGATTGTTTAATGATGCCTTTTTTTATCCAGATATTCTGTGGATATATTAAGAATATTTTAAATTTCAGCGCTTTTTAATACAATGACAGATAAGAAATGCACTCGTGATTTTACTGTTTGCAACGTTGAAAAACGTAAACACGTTGCATTGACGGTAATGAAAAAAGTGGAAATTCTGCTAAAGATGGGGGCAGGTGCTACTGCTCAGTTTATAGCAGAATCGTATGGAATTGCCAGACGGACTGTGTATGATATACGGAACAATAAAGAGAAGCTCTTGAAATTTTACAGCAACAGTGATTCTAACACCGGAATCTGAAACCAGAAATCTTTACATGAGGCAAAATCGGCAAACCTCGATGCTGTCTTGTACGAGTGGTTCCGGCAGTGGCGGACTGATGAGGCACCAATTTCAGGACTACTTCTGAGAGAAAAGGGGAAGCAGATTTATGCTGATTTAAAAATAGAGGAGTCTAATGTAAATGAACAATATTATCAGTTTATATATATATGTAATAATAATTTAATGCATATAATTAATTATTGTATTAATGTATATAATAATTTAATTAAATGTATCTAATACACCTTATTTATTTTGCACTTAGTCTGAATACTATCTTTTCTGTCCTGAAATCTGCAAGTCCTATAATCCGCATAACCTGTGGTCCCAAGCGTTACGGATTTCTGGACTTCTACTGTATAAACATAATCTTGTTGTTTTAATTAAATTTCACTTATGTTTTAGTAGCAACAGGTCGAATTCTTTTTTCAGTCATTAAAAAAAAAAAGACTTTTTTTTTTTTAAAGAGTTGTGTGACTAATGTTTATCGAGAGCAGCAGAGTTTTTTTAGAGTAATTTTTGAGATGCACCATAAAGAAGGTATACCGTTAGAAGTCGTTAATTCGGACACCCATATTCCGGACCCTCAAAGCTACAAACTTTCTGCGCATGCATCGTGTTGGCGTTTACGCGTGCGCGTAAGACCTTTACGCCTGCGAATATGCGTGTGCGTAAGCGCATAATACGTTTATGCATGCGCGTTTAATGTATAATGGACGGTATAAGCTAAGCTAAAATTTATCTAATTCAGTTAATGTTGCAGATTGCGTTGTTCCTTAATCTTCGAATTGGATCCGGCTTATTATTTTTTGCAGACTGTTAGAGCAATTTTATAAAAGTAAGCTTGAACTTTCGATTATGTCAAATAGAATTTCCAATATATATTTACTAATATGTAAAGGATCTACAAAGCGAAAGTATGTTTTGAAATCCGAAATCTGTTTATCAATTTCACGCTGCTCTGCGGCAGTGAGGGGGGTAGAAACGCCATGGCGCGCAATGAATTGGAAGTTGATCTGTCAGCACTATCCTTATCTTCAGGGCAGATGTTTTTATTTTATTTGGCTTATAATTCCTTATTAAATGTAGTATTTCATCTCGATGTACTCCGTCTTTGATATGGTTTAAATCAAGTTCCTCGTCATTATAGTTCGCTTCCGATAGTGAAGAAAGTGACAGAGAGGTTATTGAAAACGAAAACATTTCGATTGACTAATTAGTCGGTATTCTCGACACAGCAATTATAGGACTTGAACAGCGGAACTTTGTATCTAAACAAGAAATTATGTCTATTTAATAGAACTAAAGAGAAAGTATTGTCACATGAAATGAAGCAACTTAAACAACTTACATTGAAAGAAATGTTTAATAAAGTAAACAATAAATTTTAAGCTTTTTCTTTTTGCAAAAATTTTGATACCCTTTAGATCATAATTGTTCTTTATTTCATAAATTAGTTTCATATTTTTAATTCTGTAATTTCTGCATGCCATCTTACCAGATTTAAACTGATGATCTATAATCCGGAATCGCCGAAGTCCCGATGAGTCCGGATTAACAACTTTTGACTGTACTAGAAAAATATTAGTGACTTTTTCATTGAATAATATACTTTTATGAAAGTTCTGAGAAATGTGATATATTTGTCTGAGGAGATGTAAATGATTCTCATTTGCGACGATCTTCAAATAAAGGTTTGTGAATTAAATGTTTCTCCTGATTAGATGTCTTTACACCCACACTGGACTATACATTCAGCATTAAAGCTGATTCCTGAACTTAAACACTCTAACTACTTCAATTTCTTTCCCAGTTTGATTTTACAGACTGGTTCAGCCAGTTTTACATATATAATTTCAATGTGAGATAATTTGCAGTTTAAAACATCTGCTTCTTTAATGGGCAACAAAGTACATTGTTTCATGATGTTGAAGTTCAGAAGTGTAGCTAAGGTTCTCAGCACCCGGGGACAACTACAGATTTTGTGCTCCTTTCTGTGTTCCAAGAATGGAAAACACTTCATTCTAAAATTTGTAGCATCAATTTGGCACCCTCTGGATGCTGTACCTGGGGACAGATGTCCCCCCTTACCCCATCCAAGCTACGCTACTGTTGCAGTTTCAAATGGTCTAAAAAGATAGTTTCTTGTTCTTCACTTTCCTCATTTTTCTAACATTAATACTATACTGGTTATCATAAATTAAGGAAAAATCACAAAAATAGCGATAACTCCCTCAAAAATAAGCCAAACCGTGTAAAATTTGAATATGTTGCCAAGTAAGAGTAGCTGATTAAAACTCCAATATGCTAATTAGTGGCGCTGCACTCCGAATACATCATCTGCGAGGAGCATAAAAGTCCATGTTTGAGAGCAAGAGCACATATTTCACTGTGATAGTGACATCAGAAATCAGATAGCCAATACGTAACAACGACCTCCAGGCATCATTTGCCTGCAGAACTACGATAGAGAGCCATTGGGAGACTAGAGGCAGGACAAAGTCAAACAGAAGTGGCCAGATGGCTAAATGCAAGTCCTTTTGTGGTTTATAGACTTTGGAGGCAATTTCAAAGCACAGATTCGGCACCTAGGAGGTTCAGCCAAGAACGGCCAACTGCTACGACGAGCGCCGATGACCGATATTTGACATTACGTGCACTCAGGAATAGAACAGCTACTCTGACTCTTTTAGATCCTTCCTTGCTGCAGCCACCGGGAGGTTGATGTCAGCATCAACTGTGCATAGAAGGCTTCATGAAGGTGGTCTGTATGCGAGGCGAACAACCATTTGCATGCTGCTCAAGTCACACCATAGGAGGACCGTTTGCAGTGGGCACGACAACATGTCCACTGGACGCCTGAGCAATGGAGGGCTATTCTCTTTATGGATGGGTCCAGGTTTAGTCTAGAAAGCAATAATGGCCAGCTCGATCCCCAGACTTGAATCCTATTGAGCACGTTTGAGATGCTTCAGGGAGACGTCTAGCTACTCTCAATCCACCCCCTTAGACCCTTGCCGTGCTTGCAACTGCTTTGCAAGAATGATGGCTCTCGCTTCCTATGGAACTGATAGACTGCATTATTGAAAGCATCACACATCGCTGAATGTGCCGTATTGCTTCTAGAGGCGATTATATTCCATACTGAAGGTACTTTTACTATAAACAAACTGACATCTTCGATTTGTTCATTTTATATATGTGCTAATTTTTATACTACCATAATTGTCTGGTAATTTCGTTTTATGTTATTTGATACCTTACTATGTGTTGTATATTGTGAGTAAATTTCATAAAATTGTACATGTAACTTTTTCAGTAATCGTGATTTTTACGATTTTTCCTTAATTTATGATAACCAGTGTATAATGTTATATTTCTCAGGCATTTCTTCTTTTTCATGTTCCATCAAATAACTATTGTAATAAAGGCATCTGATGCCAAATATGGACTTTCTATATGTATGATGATGTATAATATGGAAAGTTTAGAACAAATTTGATGTCCCTGAAATAATTTGCCACAAATTTGTCCTTAAGAGATTTAAAAGTATATTAATATTTCAGATAATTTTAAGCACTTTAGTATTTTAATATGAATCATCATGCAAATGAAAGTCCTTGAATAAAAAACTATATAACTGAAAGACTATGTAATAACCAGAAAATTCAATTTATTATAAAGGTATACATTTAAAACATGAGAGATTTACCCTAACAAAGGCAGATGGAAACCATCCTCCATTTCCATCTTTGGTGCCCCACCACCAATCATGATCACTAGTATCAGTAACTTCAATGATATCACCGGCTTGAAATGGCAGTTCTTCAGAATCTAGAGTTTCATGATCCCAAAGAGCCTCTGCATACATAGTACCTTCCCCTGACAACTGAAACCAACAAAGCAACAACATGCAGTTAAAATAAAATTTTGCACCACTGTTATGATTATAAAAGAGTGATTAGTACCAAATATATCAATAAAAATTCAAGTTTTACCTTCTGAGTGACATGGCTGCTTTAACCTGGTTATGTAATATGTAATTCTTTTAAATATGTTTTTATTTAGGGTACAGTGAGAACAAAGCAAATGAAATGATCTAAAAAGCATTCTTAGAAATCTATAAATACAAACCATTAAGTAAATTTATTGTGAAAATAAAGGCAACATATGCTGCATAAACATAAGTTAAGCAAACATAAGCTACAAAGTTATAGGGTTCTACAATAAGGGTATTATGGTTTTATATCTTAATCCTGGTTATACACTTCAGTCTTAGTTTTTACGTAATGTTTTTAAAATATCTTGTGGCTAGAGAAGGTTTCATTAAAAAAATTACTTCATAAAGCAAAAATTTTAACTGGTTAAATATTCATTATGCTTTCAAAGAGTTAAAAATCTTATACGCTTAGATACCAAGAATTTACTGGTTCTGATCATTCTTTCAGGTCTATCATAGATTACAAATGAAGACTCAAGAAAAACAAATTTAGGTAGCAGCTACAAAACAAAAGCTACTCATTTCAAGAATTAATTATTTCATCTTGGGCACAATAGCACTTATTATTAAAATATGCAGCTAAATTTATTTTTTGTACTAATGTTTATAAAACATAACTTAGTGATTCAGAAGTCAAACAACAAAAATCAGCGTTATACCTACAAAATTTTCACAGGACTAGTTTCGATGGTTTTACCGAACCATCATCTTCAGCTGCAAAACCGCAAATGAACAAGATAGGAAATAATGATTAGATAAGATAAGAAAGCCTGGACAAGAATAAGCAAGTGGCGCCATCTGTTGGCGAAACCAGAACTAAAACATAATTTCTCTAAAAGCCGAAGGCAAAGATTTGGATTGGAATTAGGGATCGTTAACTAGAAACAGAAAGATTTTTATGGAATGTGAAACGCCTCTAGAAAATCAAAGTTCTCCAACGGAAGATGTTTTTTGAATAATTTTGGCAGCATAAAAATTGAAAGTGTGATTTTCGGACCAACAATGTTGGAGCAACAAGAAGACCTCTGTGTTTCCTTTTTTCTAACACATGCCTCATGTTTCTTGACGCGAACTTTTAAGGCTCTCTTAGTTTGGCCAATGTAAATAAAACCACACTGGCAAGGAATCCTATAAATACCCCAGGAATTCATATCCGGAATGGGGTCCTTGAGTATAGAAGTTGGAATTTTATTGATGGGAGAATAAACAACCCGAAAGTTAAATTTCTGCAAAATATGTGCAACTTTATAGCTAATTGATGGAAAGAAGGGAATGACAACAGAATTTTTATAATCTCCTAAAATAAGAGTGTGGCTTTTAGTGTGTTCAGATGAGAATTTTTTAACTGCTTGATTAATAATGTTTGGTGAAAAGCCCCTGTCAATAGCTATTGCTTTTAAATAATTTAGTTCTTCATCAAGGGCTAGTTTGGAGGAGCAAACTTGAAGAGCACGGAAAACATAGCAATAAAATGAAGCTAACTTTTGTTTAGTCGGATGACATGATTTAAAGTGTGGTGGAAGGCAAACCGATAAAGGTTTACGGTAAATCGTAGTACTGAAGTTGGATGTGATATACGTGTGACCAAGAATGTTCGAGAAAACGGAAGAGAATTGCATAGTCTCAAGTTCAAAAGTGAACTGAATAGCAGGATCAATAGAATTCATTGTTGAAAGAACTTTATTTAAATCATCTTTATTACATCTTCAAACAGGGTAAAAGTATTCGTCTATGTAGCGGAACCATGCCGGGAAGTTTAAAAGTTTCAAACAATTTTGATTCATAATAATGCATGTAGATATCAGCCATGGGATGGGACTGAGGGTGGCTTCCCATGGCTAATCCTCAGTTTGCTTGTAATATTTATTTTCGGAAAACAAAATGTGTTTGTTTCAAACAGAGTTTTCCAAAATAATATTACAAGCAAACTGAGGGATTAGCCATGGGAAGCCCCCTCAGTCCCATCCTGGCTGATATCTACATGCATTATTATGAATCAAAATTGTTTGAAACTTTAAACTTCCCGGCATGGTTCCGCTACGTAGACGATACTTTACCCTGTTTGAAGGTAATAAAAGATGATTTAAATAAAGTTCTTTCAACAATGAATTCTATTGATCCTGCTATTCAGTTCACTTTTGAACTTGAGACTTGCAATTCTCTTCCGTTTCTCGACATTCTGGTTACACGTAACACATCCAACTTCAGTACTACGGTTTACCGTAAACCTTCATCGGTTTGCCTTCCACCACACTTTAAATCATGTCATCCGACTAAACAAAAGTTAGCTTCATTTTATTCCTATGTTTTTCATGCTCTTCAAGTTTGCTCCTCCAAACTAGCCCTTGATGAAGAAATCTGTTGGTGAAACCAGAACTAAAATAAATTAAATTTTAAATTATTTAAAAGCAATAGCTATTGACAGGGGCTTTTCACCCAACATTATTAATCAAGCAGTTAAAAAATTCTCATTTCAACACACTAAAAAGCACGCTCTTGTTTTCGGAGATTATAAAAATTCTGTTGTCATTTCATTCCTTCTTTCCATCAATTAGCTATAAAGTTGCACATATTTTGCAGAAATTTAACTTTCGGGTTGTTTATTCTCCCATCAATAAAATTCCAACTTCTATACTCAAGGACCCCATTCCGGATATGAATTCCTGGGGTATTTATAGGATTCCTTGCCAGTGTGGTTTAATTTACATTGGCCAAACTAGAGAGCCTTTAAAATTTCGCGTCAAAGAACATGAGGCATATGTTAGAAAAAAGGAAACACAGAGGTCTTCTGTTGCTCAACATTGTTGGTCCGAAAATCACACTTTCAATTTTTCTGCTGCCAAAATTATTCAAAAACATCTTCCATTGGAGAACTGGATTTTCTAGAGGCATTTCACATTCATAAAAATCTTTCTGTTCTAGTTAACGATCCTAATTCCAATCCAAATTGCCTTCGGCTTTTAGAGAAATTATGTTTTAGTTCTGGTTTCAACAGATGGCGCCACTTGCTTATTCTTGTCCAGGCTTTCTTATCTTATCTAATCATTATTTCCTATCTTGTTCATTTGCGGTTTTGCAGCTGAAGATGATGGTTCGGTAAAACCATCGAAACTAGTCCTGTGAAAATTTTGTAGGTATAACGCTGATTTTTGTTGTTTGACTTCTGAATTAGTATTTATTCAGCGTGTTATTGTGTCTTAATCATAACTTAGTGTTTAGAATCTAAAGGATAGGCCATTTAATTTTCTTTTTAAATCATCTATATGCTTAAGAAAAGCGTTATAAAGCACTGCAGTAGTACAGAGTAAACTTACAAATGGGGGGAGGGGAAAAAGCACAGAATTTAAAATTTTAGAAGGAACAAAAATTTATGTAAAAGTGCAGACACATCATAAATATAACACACCTCCCAACAGGTATTCGATCGACGTGTAGGACTGCAACAGTAACTATGGTATATATCACTCTCAGATGAAGCTTCATCGTCTGATGACAAACTGCCTTTTTGGAAACTATCATGATCAGCAGAACCTAAATAAAATCATGTCATTCTTATTAAAAAGCCAACATTTTGCAAAGGAATAAAACAAGTGTTTTAAAAATTATTTTGCAGCACATTACAATTTGTTCCATACAACACAGAAATAAAAAGTCGTGAGACTATGAAAAAGTACCGATGTGATCTGAACAAAAAGTGCACTGTCAATCACAAGTGACTAATACTGTGCTTAATATGTTAATTTCTTAAAGATATCTAACATAAATTACACTCATTTTTAAATCATTCTAAAAATTCAAAATTCACATATACACACACAAAACAACTAATATTGAAATTGCATATAACAGTTACCATGTGTGGAATCTCTAAGGTTGTGTATAGAACCAGTCATTTCTAATTCTACTGGCTGACTGATTGAACGCCTGAGACGATATCTGCCCTTATGGCGACACATAAGTAAACGAGAGTGGACTCTGCATAACTTTACAGGATTTGCTCTCCAGATCTTTCATATAAAAAAGTACAGAAAATAAAATTAGGAGATATTCATTCATATGTACATAAAAATCATAAGCATGAAATTTTAATTAAAGACCAATGAAAGAAATAATACTATAAAATACACTTTTGGCAGTTACCTGATCAAGACTTGTTACATTTTTCTGCTGATCTTCTGAATTTCCGATATCTGAAGCTGCCCTAGATACGTCTTGTTTGCCATCCTATTAAAAGTATTTAAATGGAATATTAAATTTACATAAAGCTAAAAATTAAGAAAAAGCTGAACATAATGAAAATGAGATTTTTTTTACACTACTGTTTACATACAGTATTAGTTTAAAACTAACAGCTACAGTAATGAAACAAGCATTACACAAGACGAAAGTTAGTTATAACAATAAATACTCAAGATTATCTGCTCAACTAGATGTTGGCTTATTAATTATGGCAAAGCACTGGAGGGTTACTCACATGAGGAAACACATGACTAAATGTAGCTTTAAGAGAGAAACAAGTTCATAATTATGTTAGATGTATATATATGCAATTGACTGGGCCTATTTCCTTCAGAGAGGTTACTTTCTGAAGGTTTTCTTAAGGGAAACTGGTTCATATTCCCACTACATATGGAGATGAACTCCATGCAGCTAGCTTATTTTACAGTGGGAAATCGAACCTAGGATGAATTGCTACTCAGTACCCTTATCCACTCCGTCAGGTAGCAGCTGCAAAACAGAAGAACCTATTGGCCAGCATATTGCCGAAACATGATGTCTGATAAAAACTCAAAGTGCTTAGGAAAGTTAATTATGCATGAAAGTCAATTAAGCATGTTCTTAAGCATCTTCCATATGAAACTGAGTGTTCTTATAAACAAGATCCAGAAACGCATTAAAACAGTATAATGAGATGAAGCCTCATTTTCTGCAACACTTTGATGCTACATCAAATAAATGCAGACAACAAATACCATAATATAGATTTATACATTTTTTAATGTTAATTTATCGCATTTTACTAAGTCCCCAGTTATGTTTTTAATGATATGTAATTATTATTTGGATTGCATATGAATATGCAGAAGTTCATATCAGAGTACAACTCATTTTTCCAAGAGTTAATTGCAGTTAAGTCATTTTTCATGACAGGACTAACTTATTACAGTATAATTTTGCAAATCAAAAATTTGTGGCAGCAGCTGACATATATTTAAACTTGTTATACTAATCTTCAGCTGTAAGCAGCAAATTTATTTTCAAACTAGATACTGCTTAAATTCACCAATGATATATTGAGTTATCGATAATAATAGGGAAAGCATGCAGAACTTTAGGGTTAAATAAATTTTTTCATATGAATGAGAAATATTGCTTACAGGAATTTTTATGCAGGAAGAATTTTCTAATGTTAAGCAATCTGCGACTGATACTGGCCGCTGAATGGCTTTAGATTTGGGTGAATAATCAGAAGTGGAAGCCGCTCTTTTCCGTAGAATATTTGCATCACTTTCAGCTAAATGAGGCTAGGAGAGAACAAGAACTGTTAAATGGAAGCTGTAAAGAAGTGTCAAAATGCCATAAATTACACTTCAGTAGTCATTAAACTTCAGCTGCGTCAACTAAAACAGAAGTTTTTCAAAGTAGTTTTGGATAATGAATTTCAGATTATTTAAATATGTGAAAAATTTAATAACAAGGAAGAAGCAACTTGCAAATAAATATGTAACTCATAAAATTGAATTCATGCATTGTCCAATAGCCTGACAGTTTAAGCTCAATGACATGCAGCTCTGTTATAACTAATTTTTAAATACATTTTTTCTAACTAAGAGCGAAATGAATTATCTCGTCGATCTCTATTTGTGAAATTGGAAATTGTTTACAAAATCACACAGCCTGTGAACTGCCCTTAAATCATACAAAAGGAAGTGGTAAATAGGATATATTATTACATTATTCATTACATTACATTAGTTTAAAACCATTTGAGCTCAAATTATACAAAAATCTCCTTCTCTCAAATGTTGAATAAATGCCCTAACTAATCACCATTCTTGCCTCAAAACTATCAATCTTGATCAAATTTTGCTGAAATACAATTGTCTTTGCTTTTACGCATTTGAATTAATACAGATTACACCAAAGTGGCCTAAGTGGATAAGATAATCAGAAATTCATAGTCCTACGTTCAATACTCAATGCCTGAGCAGGGTTTCTCCATGTTTAATGTGAATATGAACTAGTTTCTTTAGAAAGTTCAGAAAGGATGTTTCTTCCAAAGTGGACAGTTTATAAGTAGTACTTTGACATATTTACCATACCTTTCCTTTCACAAATAATATAAGTGAATATTTTAATCAAAGGCCTACTAAAACCTTTTTTCTCCTTGTTTTATTTGATATATATTTAGTATATGATATCAACAGTGAGTTGCAAATTTGGGACTAAATGGAAATTTTCCACTGAAATACAGAAAATTGTCGCTATAGCAAAGTTCAAACTATTGGAAAACATTAGAGTAATCGCGAAAAAATAGAAAATTCCTTTAATATTCAATTAATTCACATACAGATACTATAGCATGTACCTAAAATTCCACATTAAATAAGAAAATTTATAATAAAACTATGAAAAATGCGATTAGAGCTACACTACACCTCAAGAACTTGTCCAGTTAATTATTGCTAACAACAAAATAAAATTATAAAACTATTTAACATTCATGCTTTAATTATTATTAAAATAAATGACAACATCAATTAGTTTTTCTTTTATAATGACGTCATACATTGTTCCCTGTCACTCGGGAAATAGCCACCTTTTTAGCAATAGTATGCTTTACCTTAAAGTTTAATACAGTACACAAAAAGACAAATTTCCGTACTTATTATTCCACTTCTGCCATTTAAAAATATTTCTATTATTATTTTACTGATTGAAATCTAAGTTTGGATCAGTTTGCCAAGGATGCCATTTTTTTCCAGCTGTGTTTTCAAGTGCTGAAGAACGCATTCTTCAACACGAAATCTTAGCATCGTGGACGTTTGCGTAGTCTCTCTAAATAAAGAATTTAAACACCTAACTTCAAAGATTTGTTTGATCAAAATGATTTTATAGAACTGTCATTTAGCAATACTTATGAATTTCTATCTTAATTGAAACTATAAAAGTTGAAATTAAGTAAAACATTTAAACTTCATGACCACATATGATTTATTTTTAATAATACTAATAAATACCGTAAGCTCTATATAATTTAAATCGTTAAAAGCTACGCTACACAAAAAAGGTATACAGTACAAAGTCTTTAATCCGGACTCGTCAGGACTTCGGCGATTCCGGATAAGGGGTTTTTCAGGATTACAGATCATCAATTTAAATCTGGTAAGATGACATGCAGATCTGGTATGATGACATTCTTCATCAAGGGATAGTTCAAGAATCAAGGTATCATCAAGAACTAAATTATTTAAAAGCAATAGCTAATGACAGGGGCTTTTCACCCAACATTATTAATCAAGCAGCTAAAAAATTCTCATCTCAACACACTAAAAGGCACACTCTTGTTTAAGGAGATTATAAAAATTCTGTTGTCATTCCCTTCTTTCCATCAATTAGCTATAAAGTTGCTTATATTTTGCAGAAATTTAACTTTCGGGTCGTTTATTCTCCCATCAATAAAATTCCGAGTTCCATACTCAAGGACCCCATCCCAGATATGAATTCCTGGGGTATTTATAGGATTCCTTGCCAGTGTGGTTTAATTTACATTGGCCAAACTAAGAGAGCCTTAAAATTTCGCGTCAAGGAACATGAGGCGTATGTTAGAAAAAAGGAAACTTCTGTTGCTCAACATTGTTGGTCCGAAAATCACACTTTCAATTTTTCTGCTGCCAAAATTATTCAAAAAACATCTTCCATTGAAGAAATGGATATTCTAGAGGCATTTCACATTCAAAAAATCTTTCTGTTCTAGTTAACAATCCTAATTCCAATCCATCTTTGCCTTCGGCCTTTAAAGAAATTATGTTTTAGTTCTGGTTGCATCAACAGATGGCGCCACTTGCTTATTCTTTTCCAGGCTTTCTTCATTTCCTATCCTGTTCATTTACGGTTTTGCAGCTGAGGATGGTGGTTCGGTAAAACCATCGAAACTAGTCCTGTGAAAATTTTGAATATATAACGCTGATTTTTGTTGTTTGACTTCTGAATTAGCAATTATGATCTAAAGGGTATCATAATTTACAAAAAAAAGCTTAATATTTATTTGTTTACTTTATTTAACATTTCTTTCAATGTAAATTGTTCAAGTTGCTTTGTTTTATAGACACTTTTTATGTTTACTTTCTCTTTAATTCTATAAACAGACATAATTTCTTGTTCAATTACAAAGTTCCGCTGTTCAAGTCCTGTAATTGTTGTGCCGAGAATATAGACTAACTTTTCAATCGAAATTTTTTCGTTTTCACTAATCTCTCTGTCACTTTCTTCGTGCCTTTATCCATTTTTTGCAGCAATTCCACTTTTCTTTGATGGACATCGAAACATGCTTTCGCTTTGTAGATCCTTTGGCAGCTCTAGAATCGGAAACTCTTTTTGACATAATCGAAAGTTCAAGCTTACTTTTTATAAAATTGCTCTAACAGTCTGCAAAAAATAATAAGCCGGATCCAATTAGAAGAGTAAGGAACAACGCAATCCGCAACATTAAGTGAAATAGATAATTAGATAATTTTAGCCTAGCATATACCGTCCGTTATACATTAAACGCGCATACGTAAACGTATTATGCGCATGCGTAAACGTATGATGCACATGCGTAAACGTATTATGCGCATGCGTAAACGCATATATTCATGCGCAGAAAGTTTGTAGCTTTGAGGTCAGGATTATAGATCATTCCGGATTATGGACGACCGGATTAAAGACTTTGTACTGTAATAAACTACCGATTAGGCTATCGTCACAATTCAAACATAATAAACTAATTAAGGATATTTATTTTCAAGATACAAAAATATGGATGTTAATAAGGTGATTAATATACTCATATAGTTTACTTTAATATGAACCAATTAGCACAAAAAATATGATAAAATTATATATTCTCTTATATACATATTAAGCTCAAAACAGCTACATCAAACTATAATGTTCGTAGACAAATAGTTACATAGATATCTATCAGCAGTGCTACTAATTCTGAAAGGCCAAGAAGTGGGAGGATTTTGTGAAGCACAGCAAATAGACTTAAAAAGACTTTCTAATTTGACATATATGATTTTGAGAGGAAAGAAACCGATTTTACAAGTCACTTTACAATGTCATTGATTGACCTAGTTTTTTAAATTGTTTATTTTATTTCTTTGGCCAAAAAGGATAGCATTTCCTTTCGACACTTAAAAACGTGAGATGGAGAAATAGCGTCCCCTGGTTTTATTAGCAGAAGAATTGGTAGCTCTGTTACATCTGTAAACTAGACCAAAAGTAAATCTTTAACCTTTTGAGGACGACCGAGACGCTTTGTCCAGGTGACACCGTGTTTGGGAGGTTTCCATAGAGGATGAGAGTGTTTCTCTTTTTCAGCCCTCCTGACGCCAATGGACGACAGCGGGGTTCTAAAAGGACAGCAGAATTTAAATTGTGAATTTTCCATCAAATATACTTTTGGTGCAAGTCCTTTACTGTGCTCTTCATATTTATAAGCTACGTCTTTGGTTTTCTTATTTTTGCTTCCTTGTATGTTTGAAACATATTTCAATGGAAATATCCATTTTGACCGTCCCTAAATCCATATGGGCGATTTTTTGCGTGACATCTGTACATACTGACAGCAAAAAGGACTAATGGATTTAAAATGGATTTTTTTCGTGACGTCTGCACGTATGTATGTATCTCACATAACTCAAAAACGATTAACCGGTATAAGGTACTTCTCCCGGCTTCTTAGCATGCCTTCATGGTGTAGTGGTTCTGCACCATGAACATGCGGGTATTCCAGGCACATGCCGGTATTCCAGAGGTCCGTGGTTCGAAGCCCGGCGAAGGCGATTGCTCATTTTTCATCTTTCCTGCTTCCAAAAAAATATCTAATGTCTCTACAGTGGCACCGGAACTAAAAGGGTGTTGGATGATGATTGTCCTCACCCAGGGTTTGGTGATTGGGTCCCCTAAAAAACCCCAGTCTCCCTTTAAAAGGGGAAGTATATAAGGCATTTCTCCCGTCTTCCTAGCGTGCCTTCGTGGTGTAGTAGTCCTACACGCTGGCCGGTATTCTAGAGGTCCGTGGTTCGATTCCCGGCGAAGGCGATTGCTCATTTTTCATCTCTCCGGCTTTTCCACTTAACCTAATGTCTCTACAAATTAAAATAAAAACGTTGGCTGGCAGTCATTTTTTTTTTTTTTTTTTTTTGTCCCCCGAGACATTGAGAGAATTCGCTATTTCGTCTTCCAGTAGGGTCTACATTTTATGCTCCCAAAATGAACAAGACTCTATGATTCAAGACTCAGTGGTTTCCGATGT